CCTAAGAAGTGGACTTCACTGGTAAACTCACAGAGTTGCAACACCTTTCTCTGTGGAGTACTTCACATTCATGAAACTGACCGCTATCGCCTTAAACGGCTAAGCGGCGAGAGCAGCTGTTTCCCAGGGAATGCCTAGGCTGGTGGAGGTGCGTCTTGGGCTCTCCGGCGTTGGTGGGGACGCGAATCCGCCCGGCCCTCGCAGCCCTGGACCTTGATCGGGCTCCTATCCGCCCCCGGCCCGGGCCGCCTCGTCTGCGGAGTGGGTAGAGCCCATCGCGTCGGGCCTGGGAAGTGAAGCCCTAACGGCGATCGAGACGAGGACCGCGCCGTAGACTCAGCCGTCGCTGTCGTTTACCCGGCAGTCTGTAGGGAATGCTCCCGTCAGAGCGATCTCAGCTGCGGGGACGTCTTCGCCCGCAGAGATCCCGGTGCGGCTGCCGGTCAAGGGCGTAGACCTCCGAATCTCTTGCTGGCTTCAAAAATTCGCGTTCAGTGTTTCCTTAACAGCCTAAAACGGCTGTAGGATCTGGAGCAGATCCGTCGTTTAAATAAATATATACACCTTGGCAGTGCCGAAGGAATTCTGTTGTGACCCCTTTGTCTCTCCCGTACACTTGCTTGGTTGACTTAAAATGAGCCTCGTTTAACCTTGTTGAGTTGTGAACTAATTCTCAAACTTTGATCAACATAATCGCAGCATTCAGCGAACACTTATTGGGGTCTTACTAACTGCATCTACTAAAGCGCTCATTATCCTGAGCGTTCTTCCCCAGTATGGACTGATATTTTCTTTGAAATTCACGTGACTTGGCAGAGTACTCAGCACCCAGTGGGTACTGGTAACTGTCCAGGAAAAGCTACCGAGGCGGTCCAATCCTTGAGGAGGTATTTTGTAGAAGTCAGAGTAGTTAAGTCCTCTTCCACCCCGTAGCCCTTCCTCTAGCTCTCTGCAGGAGGGCGGCAGTTTTTAGACTTTGGCGCCTGTCATAGGTAGAGTAGGCAGGCCCTTGCTATATCTGCTGCTGTAAGGTTGATTTATAGTTTGAAAAAGTTGGAAAACAGTAATTTAATCCAGGGTTTTCTGAAGTGTTAGCTTTTATTAGGTACGTTTTATTTTTTAAAAGATGTGTTTCAAAAAACAGTGTTAGTTTTTTGTTGTTGTTGTTTTTGTTTTTCTTCCTGGAGACAGATTCTTTAGGTTCTGAACAAGATTTCTGGTCTTTGCCTTTTTTTTTTTTTTTTAATGCTTATTTTAGGCTTTCTGAAACAGGGTCTCACTATTTAGTTCAGGCTGGCCTAGAACTCATGGCAATCCTCCTGCCTCAGCCTCCCAGTGCTAGGATTACAGGTGTGTGCCACCATGCTTTCCGTTTTATTTTAAAGTAACATTAGTGTAGTGTAAATTTCTTTCTGTGTAACCACATGGTAACAAAATCTTTCTAAAGAAAAATCAAGTAACATTAAAATGCAAAGTTCCCCCATGTAATTATAGATTTGCTTAAGTGTTACTAGAATGCTTATCCCTTTTTGCTAGTTTTCATTTTTATTTCTAAAATTGTGCCATCTGGTGGTTGAAATCTGCTATCATAGAATACTAAGAAAAGTTTCACCTGATTTGCAGCAGACTGAGATGGAGTGAATAAAATAAAACTATACTTTTTATATCTTCGCTGTTGGTACTCTGCTGCTTCCTCCCAGCCTAACCCAAATAAAAGTTAAAATGACTCTGTCAGGAGCATATGTTAGCCAGATATCCAAACGTCAGACTTTGGAGAGTTGCAGACTTGAGGAGGAGGTGGGTGAGCTGGCAGGGAGAGGGAGCTGTGACTGTGACAAGTGTACCCTTCTGATGACTTGTTAATGCCAGTGTAAAGGTGGGACTGAAGTTTTGTGTTTAACTGTAGACTCTTTAGTTTGTAAAAGATGCTTTGACTTGTAATGTTAGAATAGGCTTCTAAAGTTTACTACTGGTTGGACTGAAGTTTCATATTTGATTGTTTGGATGGAATTTATCCCTCTCAGTGCAGTAGGCCTGAAGTCATATCACTAATGAATGCCCACTTCACTTTTGTTTCTGCCATGCTGCTGATGTTTGTAATTATTGCATTGCTCCTTTGAAACAGATTTCTGTATTCCTTCTTTCTTTTCTTCTTCTCCCTCCCTCCCTCCCTTCCTTCTGTGTCTGCATGTGCATGTGCGCATGTGCATGTGCGTGTGTCTTTTTTTTTTGTGGTACCAGGAATCAAAGTCATGACTTTGCACTTGTGAGGCAGTTGTGGTGCCACTGAGCTAAATTCCTGGCCCATTGTATGTCTTTTTAATGCTGGGGATTTAATCCAGGGCTTTGCACATGCTCTGCCACTGAGCTATACTCGCTTCTGTATTCTTTCTCTTTCCTTTCCCTTGTTTTCCTTTGGATAGCATCTTGCTGTGTCTTTTAGGTTAGCTTTGACCTCTGTAGCTCACGTTGACCTTGAACTCCATCCTCCTACCTCAGCATTCCCTAGTTCTGGGATTGTAGATGTGTGCCACCACGTCTGGCTTCCTTCTGTATTCTTAGTAATGGGAAATATTTGTCCTTCAAGTGAGCATTTTATTTTTGAAAGTCACTTAAAATAGTTTTAATTGTGAACTCAACGTATTTGAGAAGAAACTTAACATGCAGTGCAAGAATATGCTCTTAACATTCTTAATCGAGATGGCCGGCCTCTTGAGCACATTTCTACAGGTGTTGAGAGCTTCACACAACAGCCTGATTGATTGTTGGACAGCTCCATGAAGTTCACACCCGCTTTTGCAAGTTTAGTGCTTCGGCTTCCAGTCTGTCCTCCGGCAGATCACAGTGTCCTTCAGTTCAGTCTTCCCTGATCACGTGACTGAGAATTTTGGACAATACTACTTTACATGTCACACTGTACTGTTTCAGATATGCTCGTGTATATTGCTGTAACTGCATGAGATACAGGCTAAAAGCTGATGCTGCTTTATGGTAGAGGATGAGTAGCCAAAGTGATAGGATTTATGAATAGCCAAGTCCACAACATTTTTTCCCTCAAACCTATGTCTTCTTTCAAATTCATCATTCTAACTAGGCTTTCTTTTCCTTTTTTTTTCTATTCTTCTTTTCTTTTTTTAAAGTTTCTAAAAATTAAGTTTATTGGTACATTTTAGGTATACGTAACAATAACTGCATTCATTACTGGGAACTTCTGTCTGTACATGATTTATGTTGATTCTTTTTTTCCCAATTCTCCTCCCTCCCTTCCGCCCCTCTTCACCTCCTTATTTACAAGCTTTGTTTGCATTTTTCCTTTTCTCGTTTTTCCCTTTTCCCTTCCTTTCTTCCTCTCCCCTCGCTACTTCCTTTTCTCATTTGAACATTTTCTTCCTATTTCATAGTATCTGTTACACATTTTGGTCCTTTTATCCACTTTGGTTTCTCTCACCAGAGAAACAGTGCGATATTTACACCTGTTCCACTTTATTTCACTTAAGAGCATGGTCTCAAGGGTAAATGGATGCACCTTGAGGCTGTTTCCTTTTTGTACCTCCTCAGTTGTGGACTTCTCTAAGTTTGTAAATATTCCCAGTTTTCATCACTGGATTTCTGTTTAAATCTAGTTTTGGACCCATTTCCATCCTGAATCTTCAGCCTACAGCAGTGTTCAAATTGTCAGTTTTCTGTATGAGCTGACAAGTGACAAATACAATTCTATTCTTCTTTTTTTAATCTAGCAGACCCTCTATTTCTAATAACACAGGATAATACCATGGCTTCTTTGGAACTTAGGCCTAGAATTAGGGCCTAATGAACTTGTAGCCAACCAGAAGTTTTGGGGAAATAGTTTTTTTTTTTTTTTCTTTCTCTCTCTGATTTTATGTCATTCACAAACTGTAGGAAGACCTGTTTTCTGTTTGGAACATGGGAAGATTCCATCAGGGTGAGAGAGTATGTTGGGTCTTAACTCTGCTACGTACTATATATGTGGGGCTTTGTTTTCCATGAAAATGTGGATAATGGATCTTTTGATGACAGAAAGGTAATTCATAGAATTCAACTGATTTTAAAAGGCTATCCATTTTGTGTGGTTATTACATTATAAGACTTGACTGGCCCTTAATAGATGTTCAACAAATGATTTTTTAGACTTTCAATATTTTCTCAGGGCTTTGAAGAATTTTTTGGGGGCGTACTGGGGATTGAACTTGGGACTCTGCGCTTGCAAGGCAGGCAGTGGAGCCACTGAGCTAAATCCCCTGCCTGAAGAAAATTTTAAAAGAAGATAGAATATATATTTTTACTTTGTTTAGTTATGTAAAAATACCTTAAGTTGTAGTAGTGTTCTTAGAGTAGGAAGAATACCACTGGAAGGTCTTGGCTCTTCCATGTGTTCTGAGAGCACACTGCCATTATTGGATAGTTATATGTCCTCTGTGTATTACTCCCAAGGGCGTAGCAGTACCTCTCAGTGTGCACCCACATTTAGGCAAAGCCAGGTGATACGGTGGTGTCACATAGCTGAAGGGTGGAAGTGGGTGAGACTATATCTGGCTAAGAGGTATGGTGGAAGAAAGGAAAATGGTAAAATGAGGGATTTGTTAGATAAGTATGAGTATTTAGGGCTTTCAGTTAAGTAGTATCTTCCTACTAAGAAGGGTAGGAGAAGGAAATGAAGTTAAAACATGTTATTGTTTGAAATAGTCACCTAGGACAAGAAATTATTTGTAAGTTAAAATCTTAAATGTAGAAGGGAAGACTTGGTACCCTGGCTGGATCTAAAATAAGTAAGCTTTTTATTACGGAGGGAGTAAAATATAGATGATATGTATTTGTGCTTGTATACAATGTGCGTGTATATATTACCTCAGCAGCCAAGTGCCTTCTCAATTCTGATGGAATTATGTCTAGAGAAACTTGCTTTTTCTAAAAAAGTATTTAAAGAACTGTAATTATACTCTTAGGACATCCATTGACCAAGAGAAGTTTCTTTAAAACTAGTAATAAAGTATTATTTTTCTGGGACCATTACAGTACATCTCTATTTTTTTTTTTTTTTTTTTTTTTTTTTTTTTTTTTTTTTTTTTTGCTTTATAAGAGAACTTGTTCTACCAGAAAAGACAATTTTTAAAGAAATTGGTTAAATGAGATATGCCATAAATGGGTAAAACCTAATTTGCCCCTCTGCCAAACAATTTACCATTAGGAGCATCTGAAGTGAAATACTTTTCTACATAGTATCTCTTTTACTGTATCTAGTGAGTATTTTAACATCATTATTTTCCTCTGATGGTCTTCAGCTTTAAATGGGCTGACTGACAGCAGTAATTCTTTTAAGAGATGCCTGTTCCACAAGCTATTCTTGCTTTTTCTGAGGTCATGTATACTATGTTCCAAAGGATCCTTGGATATTACTTTTAAGCTTTCTTGCTGTGGTTTTTCCTAGCCAGGAGCAAGGGATGTCTTTCCATTTTCTTGTATCTTCTTTGATCTCTTTTGTTTTCAGTGTAGAGGTCTTTTGCTTTCTTCGTTAGATTGATTCCTAGGTATTTCATTTTTTTTGGATGCTATTGTGAAAGGAATTGTTTTCCTAATTTCTCTTTCAGTGAGTGTTATTCATGTACAAGAAGGTATTGATTTTTGAGTGTTGACCTTATATCCAGCTATCTACTGAATCTGTCAATTAAGTCTAGAAGTCTTTTGGCGATGTTTTTTGGGTCTTCTATGTAGACTATCATATCAGCAAATAATGACAGTTTCACGTCTTCCTTTCCTATCTTTATTTGTTTTATTTCTTTCTCTTGTCAAATTGCTGTGGCTAATGTTTCCAGAACTGTATTTAACAGGAGTGGTGACAGTGGACCAGTGTCACTTGTCTTGTTCCTGATTTAGTGTGAAGGTTTTCAGTTTTTGACCATTTAGTATGACATTGGCTGTTGGGTTTTCAAAGGTAGCCTTTATAAAGTTGAGATAAAGACCATCTATTCCAATTTTCTGTGGAATTTTTAATCATGGATGGGCATTTAATTTTTCTAATGGTTTTTCTGCATCTATTGAGATGATCATATGGTTTTTGTCCTTGACTCTGTTAATATAGTATATCACATTTATTGATTTACATATGTTGAACCATCCTTACATTCCTGGAATAAACTTAACATAGACGGGGTGTATGATCTTCTTGATGACTCTCTGTTTTCTGTTTGCCAGTATCTTAGTGAGGATTTTGGCACCTGTGTTCATTAGAGAGATTGTTACTCTTTTTTGGTTGGGTCTTTCCCTGGTTTTGCCACTTTTTTTTGGCACCGGGGATAGAACTTGGATCCTTGTGCTTGCACAGCAGGCGGCAGAACTACTGAGCTGGATCCCTGGCCCTTTCCCTGGTTTTGGAATCAAAGTAATGCTTACTTCCAGGAATGAATTTGGAAGTATTGCTTCCCTTTCAGTTTCACTGAAAAATGTAAAGAGTAGTGGAATAAATGTTTTACAGTATACAGCAGTGAATCCATCAGGACCTGGAGTTTTCTTTATTGGTAAAATTTTAATTATATTTTCAATTTTACTGATTGTAATTGGGGTATTTAGAATTTTTATTTCTTCTTTGTTCAACTTTGGTAATTTGTATGTATCTAGAAATCTGTCCATTTCTTGTATTTTCCATTTATTAGAGTACAGGTTCTCCAAGTAGGTATTGATGTTCCTCTGGATTTCTGTTGGATCTGCTGTGACTTCATCTTTTTCATTCCTAATTACATTGATTTGAGCCTTTTCTTTCCTTTTTTTTGGATAAGGTTGGCTAAGGGTGTATCGATTTTATTTATTCTTTCAAAAAAACCAACTCTTCAATTTATTGATTTTTTTTTT